ACCCTCCTCATATATAGGGTAGCATAAATACACACACACACACACACATACATACATACATATATATATATTAATGCTAGACGAAATCATCAGGCGTTTTGACGATTGCGTCTAGCATGAAACAGCCTGTCGCATCTGCGTGTTGACTTTAATGTTCACTTTTATATTTACATACGCACTATCTCTGTTAAAGTGTGTTAGAAATGGATTACTTTCTTCTGATATTTCTGAGTTAATTCGCCCCACTGGGTCTATTTGTCCCCTTTGTATGGGTTACCTAAAATCCATAAACAGGGTATCCCACTACGTCCTATTTTGTCAATAATTGGGTCTGCCCAGCATAAGGTCGCTAGTTGGTTGTCGATAGTGTTGCAATCTGTGTTGTTACACTTTAGTTCTTTCTGTGTTAAGGATTCCTTTTCTTTTGTTGAATCCATACATAATTATCCCCTCAGTAGTGGTTTCATGAGTTCCTATGACATTTGTTCGCTGTTCACCTGCGTCCCTTTGGTTGAGACAATAGATATCTGCTGTGACATGTTATACCGTTCCTCATTGTCACCCCCGGATTTATCTGAGAGGGTGTTTATTGATTTGATGAAGTTCGACACCTTGTTAGTTGAATTCAGTTTCAATAATATCATGGATCGACAGATTGACGGGGTTGCGATGGGATCTCCTTTGGGTCCTTCGCTTGCTAACATATTTGTTGGTTTTCACGAGGCCCTATTATTCTTTCGTATTAATCGACCTCCAATGTATCATCGCTACGTGGATGATACGTTTTGCCTCTTTAATGATGAGGGTGAAGCTGACTCTTTTCTCACCGTACTAAATTCTGTTGATCCGTCCTTAAAGTTCACGGTTGAAAAGGAGTCGAATTGTTGTTTGTCCTTTTTGAATGTTTTGATCCATAAGAACAGTGATGGCTTTTCGACCTCAGTTTTTAGGAAGGCAACCTTTTCAGGTTTATATACACGTTGGGATTCCTTTGTTCCGTACCAACGTAAAATTGATTTAATTAGAACATTGAGCTCTTAAAATCTGCTCTAATTCCTTCCTCAACGTTGAAATGAATTTTATTAAGATGACACTTTCCAAAAATGAATATCCTTTGGACATTTTGGAAGCCATTATGAGTAATGTCATTGATAATTTTCATAAGGTTAAGACGCATTGTGTTAAAAAAATGTCCAATTTACTTACGTCTATCTTATATTGGGACGAAAGATGAGACTTTAGCTAGGCGAATTTCACGTTCCATCGGTCAATGCTATTTTGCCTCTAATGTGAGAGTAATATTTTTGACTCGGCCGATTTTGTCATCCATTCGTGAAGACGTTTTACCTCCAGACCATATCAATTCCGTTGTGTATAAATTTGAGTGCAGTTGTGGTTATGACTACATTGGTATGACATCTCAACGTTTGGATTTCTGAATTAAACAACATTTACCCCGCAGAATTTTGCCATAACTTGGTATTGACTCTTTGGGTCCTGGCACTGGATCTATCCACTGTAGATAATAACTTTAGTCAGGACCCAAAAAGTTACGGCAGTGGAGAACTTGGAGGGGGGAATTAACAGGAGATAACTGATAACTGACATCCAATAAAACATGGCACGTGGAACAAGAACAGTCTACCCTAGTGAGCGAAATAAAGTGTTCAGTTCGTCATTCGAACCACCTGAAGAAGGGCACGGCGTACAACAGCCGAAACGTTGTAATAAATATGGCGACAAAGATAAAGACAATAGTCCGAATATTATATATATATATATATATATATATATATATATATATATATATATATATATGATCGTCGATAGCACAAAGACACACGTCATATATATATATATATATATATATATATATATATATATATATATATATAGTGAATTGGGACAACAGATTATTATTCAAACATATATTGTTAAATATGACAAAGATTATTATGTTTGATCATGAGCCGTTCTAAGCTTCGTATATATATAGCTGGCCACTCGTATTCGTGGATACCCGTCTAATAGGGTGTCTAAACAATCCCCATTGCAGACGCTAGCTCTGACACGTTTGTGTTTCTTCAACACTCACAGAGTCCACCTGCGGTTTATCCTGCAACTATGCTAAGCAGACCTTAGTTACAGTTTCTGGGAGAGTGCGTGTTATCTAGCGTGATCAACAATTTGAACAAGGCCAGCACACTCAAACCCTCGGTCACATTGACGTGTGTCTTTGTGCTATCGACGACCATCATATATATATATATATATATATATATATATATATATATATATATATATATATATATATATTAATACATGCTTTGACTGTTTTTAAAGCCATCATAAAATTTTGCCCGCTTCCCTTTATTATTTAAATAGTAGAATAGTTACGTCACGTCACAGCGAGAGACAGAGTTTTCATTGTAAAATTCACTTCGAAAAATCTGATTAAACCTCTTATACTTTTTAAAAAAAGAATTCTATTTCAGGCCGAAAACATTTCAAGATTTTTTTTTATTCATTTCATAACTGATGTTTTTCATAATTCTTCAGTTCCAATATTCTGTAAATTATATTCGAAACATTCTGTATTGACAAATGTCTAACCATCCATTAATCTCGCTAAATCGTGAGAGCTTAAATGCGGTGTCGCAATGGACGACATATCACGTTCCACAACTTTTCCGAATGAAAGAGAAAGAGAAAAAAATAACTAAAAGCATAAAAGAAATGTGTGCAAGAGAATGAAAAATAAAAAATCATACAGAAAAAAAAATGATACAGTTATTCTGAAGCAATGGTTTCCAACCGATTTTGGGCCATGCCCTACTTTGGTATTTCGAAAATTCTTGTGCCCCTCTCTCGCGATAATATTAAATTCTTACATATTCAAAATTTTACTGCATTTCATTTGAAGGAAGCAAATTGAATGCTCACACGCGCTGATTAGCCGACAAAACACGGGCTTTTACAGCGACATGCATCACGCCCTCACCTTTGAAATTATTTGTGTAGTTCTGAAGAGGGCTATTTGTAAGGAATCCAGGTCATTTATTCTTGTTCATAGGCGTCCAAGATCTGAGAATGTCTAGACTAGTGGTTCCCAATCGATTTTAGACAATGCCCCACTTTGGTATTTAGAAAATTCTGGTCCCGGCCACCGTTGTAATAATTAATTCTTCCATATTCAAAATTTTACTCCAATTCACAAGAAGGAAGCTTAAAAGGCCATTAAGTTGGTCTCTAAACAAGTCTCCAAAGACAATGGCGTCCATGAAAGAAAAAAAAAAAAAGAAAAAGACAGTTAAATATTTCCCAACCATATAATCGAGAACTGATGGGCACCTCGGGGCGGTGTAATGGTTAACAAGCTTGTCTCGCTAGAACAATTACGACTGAGTAGTGAGTTCAATCTTCACTGGGTTCTTCATACTTTCGGCAGTGTGTCGCATCTAAGCTACGCTTGGAAAATCACGATAATCGAGAACTGATGGGCACCTCTGGGCGGCGTAATGATTAGCAAGCTTGTCTCGCTAGAACAATTACGACTGAGTAGTGAGTTCAATCCTCACTGGGTGCCTCATACTTTCGGCTTTGTACCACATCTAAGCTACGCTTGGAAAGTCGCCATTACTAATGTTTCTGTTGCTAATTCTTCCACATACAGTAACCCCTTGTGTCTTAGTGGCTTTACTGCCTTACTGATGGGCAGAAATATAAAATATTTGAATGATTGCTTATTTTGTAATATACTTTGATAATTTTAATCATGAAATAATAATACAAAACGAAATTTGAGCTCATCACAAAATGATTTTAGTGAGATCCTTGTACGCCATGTCTGCTACAGATAGATTTTATATTAGGTACCAATTTAGTCAAGTTAAGTCTCATCGTTTAATGATATCCAGTCGATTTCTTTTCTTCAATTAACAAATCATTTACAGCACTAAAGCCACATTCAGATAAATACGAAGATGGAAATTGTAACAACAAATTAATGTTAATAACTCATTCACGAATTGGCTCCTTATTCTGTTGGTATAATAAGCCGAAGGGTACATCTTTTACGCATGTCTCACCAAAATATTACCATGCCCAACCGGGGATCATTTTTATAAAGAGATATAATCTCACGAAATGAAATAGCTTTTCTCTAAATCATAAGATCGTCTGCCATTACTTTTAACCTTCCCCACCATTTTTCTTCTCTTCTTTCGCTTATTAACTCCATCTTCTTATATGTGACGTGTCTCTTCGGAACGTGGGCGATCATGGACCTCTACATCTTCCTGTCCCTTATAGCTCTCAATAAATTTTGTCTTTTTGCTATTTCTCTCAAAACCTGTCCTGTCATCTCTTTACTCACAATGTTCAAGTATATTTCTGCTCAATACTAATGTCTCTCGCGCAAAACTTGTCTTGCTAGAACATTTACGACTGAGTAGTGAGTTCGATCCTCACTGGGTGCTCCATACTTTCAATCTTGTGCCAGATCTAAGCTACGCTTGGAACATAATCATTACTAATGTTCCTGTTACTAATTCTTCCACATCCAGTAACCCCTTTTGTCTTAGTGGCTTTACTGCCTTACTTTGGGTGAAAGCGATTTAAATAATTGCCAGGAAAGGCATTTATCCATTACTTCTTCTCCCCAGGCTGTTGGTTAAATAGCAGGGTCGAATGAAAGTGCTTCGTAAATCTTGTGCAGTAGCCAATGTAAGAGAACTGATTGGTTGATTCGTTTTTTGCGGCTTATCAACCCTTTGCAGATTATTTCAAGCCATAAAGTATTTTTCGATTATAAAAATTGTTTTTGGCGATAATAACGATTTAGTGATAGTAGTCTTGCTAATTAACCCATAGATGGAGGGAGAAGATGTGGATTCACCCCATTCCCACGGGTATTTGCGCGTAAGTGAACATAACAGACGCAGCGATTAACAATTCCGAGCTGTTATATAGTTGTATACCGACAGCACATCCAAGTTTCCATTACTTGATATTCACAAGCGGTCACCCATTTGGGTACTGACCAGACTCGACGTTGCTTAACTTTGGTGATCGTACAGGAACCACTGTTTGCAAAGTGATCTAACCGTAAGCCCATTATGTTATACGCACATCCAAGTTTACAGCACCTGATAGTTACAAGCGGTCACCCATCTAGGTACTGACCAAACTCGACGTTGGTTAACTTCGGTAGTCGTACAGGAACCGGTGTTTCCAACGTGATCTAACAGCAAGCCCATTACACTACCCGCACATCCAAGTTTACAACACTTGAGAGTTACAAGCGGTCACCCATCTAGGTACTGACCAAACTCGACGTTGCTTAACTTCGCTGATAGTACAGGAACAGGTATTTCCAACGTGATCTAACAGTAAGCCCATTGCACTACCCGCACATCTAAGTTAGAGCATCTGGTAGTTCCAAGCGGTCACCCATCTGGGTACTGACCAAACTTGACGTTGCTTAACTGCGATTAAATATCAGCAGAGGCAGAGCTCTCTAGACTTTTCCACTAGTTTAGAAGGGGTGATTTTCTTAAATAAAAAAGAAAATCTTGAGAAGACAGACATATTAATCCATCATATTCCAATGTAGTGTGTTGCGTTTCACACTATTGCCTTTGGGAAAGGTATCAATCCATTGCCTCTTCTACTCTCATGTATGGGTTAAATAGCCGGTGAGACTTTGGTGGCTACCAGTTTAAGAGTGCTAGTCTTAATTGAAATCTCAGGATCTGTCTATATTTCTGAGATGAGGTATTATGTACATTATATACATTATTCGGACTATTGTCCTTATCTTTGTCGCTATATTTATTACAACGTTTCGGCCCTTCAGGTTCTGTCTATATTTCTGAGATGAGGTATTATGTACATTATTTACATTATTCGGAATATTGTCCTCATCTTTGTCGCCATATTTATTACAACGTTTCGGCCTTTGTACGCTCCGGCCTTCTTCAGGTGGTTGGAATGTCGAACTGAATCCTTTCAGGCGTTGCTTACATCCAGTGACAGGACCCAAAGAGTTGCGAGTTCAATAACTCTTTAAGGCCAGTGGAGGACTTGCAGAATTAACAGGAGATAACTGATAACCGACATCGATTAGACAAGGTACGTGGAACTAGAACAGTATACCACAGTGAGCGAAATAAAGGGTTCAGTTCGACATTCAAACCACCTGAAGAAGGGCGGAGCTTAAAACAGCCGAAACGTTGTAATAAATATGGTTACAACGATGGGGACAATAGTCCGAAAAATGTAAATAATTTATGATTCCTTGCATTATTTACATTATTCGAACTGTTATCCTCATCTTCATTGCCATATTCACAACATTTCGGCTGTTGTACGCTCCGGCCTTTATGTCTATGTCTCTCTCTCTATATCTGTCTATATCTCTGAGGTGAGGTATTATGATTACTTGCATTATTTACATTATTCGGACTGTTACCCTCATCTTCATTGCCATATTCACAACATTTCGGCCGTTGTACGCTCCGGCCTTTATGTCTATGTCTCTCTATATATCTGTCTATATCTCTGAGATGAGGTATTATGATTACTTGCACTATTTACATTATTCGGACTGTTATCCTTATCTTCATTGCCATATTCACAACATTTCGGCCGTTGTACGCTCCGGCCTTTATGTCTATGTCTCTCTTTATATCTGTCTATATCTTTGATATGAGGTATTATGATTATTTGCACTATTTACATTATTCGGAGTGATATCCTCATCTTCATTGCCATATTCACAACGTTTCGACCATTGTACGCACCGACCTTTATGGCTATGTCTCTCTCTATATATGTATTATGATTACTTGTCACGACCAGGCACTATTGTTTCGATTGTTGATTAGTTGTCTTAGGACCATTTTCTGCGATGGACGATACTTCGACATTCCAACCACCTAAAGAAGGAGCGTACAACGACTGAAACTTTGTAATAAATAAGGCAACAAAGATGAGGACAATATTTCGAATTTTGTAAATAATGAAATTTAAACCTTTGGAGGATGCAACGCGAAATCAATCCATATCTTTCCCAAGAAAGACATAATAATTCTTCAAATTTAGTTCATGATTGTTGCAGTCAGATTTGCACAATTGCTTTTTAGAAATGTATGAATCGCCTTTTTATTCTTCCCGCTATGTGGAAAAAAGCAGGGTAGACTGAGCTCTCTAGTCTTGACAGGCAGCTAGTTTAGGAGATGTATAATTCTTTTTAAATTCAAATCTTAAACATACTGGGAAACAACTCGACTTACGCGATACTTAGCAATTATAAAACATGAAAATGGATATGTGGAGGGCTATGATCGTGAATTGAGAGATTTCAAGAAGAGAATAAAAAGTCAACAAATCCATTTCCGGGAAGAAACCATTCCGTTCATACTGGGGTGGGGGGGATTGTTTTGAGGCATTTTCTCTTTGAAGAATAAATAAAAATGGGAAATATTCATGAAGAGACCTAACAGTAATTTTTTCTTTTAATCAGTGCAAGGCGATAAAGCCCCTAAGATGCATAATAGAAAGTCTAATCAGTTCGATCAGGTCAAATTGGAAGATGATCTAAAAAATAACCTACAATCCGTTGTTAAATCAAGCAAGGAGTGGCTTGTTTATTTCAACGCTTCAAAAACGAAACTGCTCTCTTTTAATCATCTGAGAGAATCATTTTTACTTTTCATCAGCATGAAAAGTCGGGACCCAAAGAGTAGTGAGTTCAATACCCGGTTAAGGCAGTGGAGAACTTGGAGAGGGAAATTAACAGGAGATAACTGATAACTGACATCCAGTAAACATGGCACGTGAAACTAGAAGAGTTTACCCCAGTTAGCGAAATAAAGGGTTCAGTTCGACATTCCAACCACCTGAAGAAGACCGGAGCGTACAACAGCCGGAACGTTGTGATAAATATGGCATCAAAGATGAGGACGATAGTCCGAACAATGTAAATAGTATATAATATAAAGAATTTTTATATAGAAGCCAGATAGATAAAAAAAAAAAAAGTATTGGCCTTCTTTACTTTATTTTTGCCGGTGACATTTTCCCGGTGACAGGTAAATAAAAACACGAAAAAAATCTGTCTGCTGTTTTTACATTTGTACAAATATTGGCCAGTAGAGGGCGGAAAATATTAAGTCCTCTGCCACATTCCAACCACCTTCAGAAGGCCGGAGTGTACAACGGCCGAAACGTTATTGAAATACTTTGTTTAGGCTCTGAAATACTGTCTGACATTCTTTGTTTAGTTTTCGAAATATTGTCTTTGAAATTCTTTGTTTGGTCTTGAAATATTGTTTCTTTTTTTCATTCTTTGTTTATCTTTTGAATATTGTCTTTGAAATTTTTTGTTTAGGCTCCGAATTATTGTTTATTTAGATTTCATTATTTCATTCTTTGTTTAGATTTTGAATATTGACTTTGAAATTCTTTGTTTAATTTCGAAATATTGTCTTTGGCATTCTTTGTTTAGCTTTCGAAATGTTACTTTTGAAATTCTTGGTTTAGCTTCCGAAATATTTTCTTTTTTCATTCTTTATTTAGCTTTCAAAATATTTTCTTTGAAATTCATTGTTTAGCTTTTGAAATTCTTCGTTTATTTTCTTGAAATTCTTTGTTTAGCTTTTGAAATATTGTCTTTTTTCATTCTTTGTTTAGCTTTTGAATATTGACTTTGAAATTCTTTGCTTAATTTCGAAAAGTTTTTTTCGGCATTCTTTGTTTATCTTCCGAAATATTTTCTTTTTTTATTCTTTATTTAGCTTTCGAAATATTGTCTTTTAAATTCTTTGCTTATCTTTCGAAATATTTTTTTTTGAAATTCTTTGTTTAACTTTTGAAATATTGTCTTTTTTCATTCTATATTTTGATTTTGAATATTGTCTTTGAAATTGTTTAGCATTTGAAATATATCCTTTTTTTCATTTCTTGTTTAGCTTTTGAATTTTGTCTTTGAAATCCTTTGTTTAGCTTTTGAAATATTTTCTTTGAAATTCTTTGTTTAGCTTTTGAAATATTGGCTTTCAAATGCCATGAACATTTTTCCTGATCCAATACTTTTTCTGTAACACTCGTAGATATTCAGTTGACCATTTAAAATAATTATTCCAGTTGTGTTAGTTATCTTTCTTTGTTTACTATAATTCTTGACTATTTTGTAGCATTTGCAGTTCTTTATTGAGATTTAGTACTTTCATGACTGTACAATTTTCTTTTACTTTTGTATCAATGTTTCTGTTATTTCTGCTTGCATTGGTTTTGGTCGATTTATTTACCGGCCTTTATCTCGGACTGTTATAAAACTGAGTGCTTGAACGCTCGATACGTGGCTTCTCTGCAGTTGAAAGTGGTCGACCATTTATCAAAAGGAACATGATCAGTGGCAATTAAGCAAAGTAGACCCATTTATGTCCGAAGGCACTTACAAATACATTCGCACATTTTACGTACGTGAAAAGCAAAAATGCGTATTCACAAAAGGATTTGTTTTTACACAGCATCGCGCCAAGTGCAAACACCGTGAATTGTCATTCCCCCCTCTCTGTGTGATGCGATGTTGCAAAAAGGAAAGAAAAAAATAAATAAATAATAGAAAAAAGAACGTAAAAGAACGTGACAGACATAACGCAATGCCAAAGATTCATTTCACTAAAGGCGTCGGGGAAAAGACGCGGGAAAAATAGACGCCGAACAGGAAAATAAAATGACACAATAAAATCGTATCTGGTCACGTTGCAATGAGATGTCAGCCATGGCCGTGTACAGAAACGGGCAGGGAAATATGAAACACATGACTTCTCGAAGAGACTGTGCAACAACTTAGTTTAAGAGAAGCAACGAAAAATGGCCAAAAAGACACACCACTCTTGTCTTCTATATAGTCGCACATAGTCACACACACACATATATATATATATATATATATATATATTGTAAAATATCAGGTCATCTCATAAATTCTGTCCGAATTTTAACTTTTTGCAAAAATGAACGAAATTTAATGAGTGTTTTATAATGTCTAATGGAGCTGAACATTATTTTTTCTTTTTAGATGTATTTAAACTGATCAAATTTTATTTCAGAGAACAATAAAAATTAAATTTTGTTTGATTAAAACCCTGCTAACATAGAAGTACCCAAGAATCGTTTGAGGCACATAATGCTTTATGAGTTCAAGAAAGGAAACTCAGCAGCTGAAGCAGCTAGAAACATTC